GAAGGCCCTGGCCCGGGGGGGGGAGGAGGGAGAGACTGGGGAAGACCAGAGACAAGGACACGAGAGGCCATGCTCCGAAGACGAGCGAAGGAGGGGTGGCCTAGACGGTGGTGCCACAGGAGAGTCTCGTGAGACAGGAGGCGAGAGGAACAGGGGGCAGACTCAGGACCTGACCGGGACGCAGCAGCAAACACCTGACCTGACGCAGCTACCTGACCAGACACAGGGACAGGAGGAGACGAAGTGGTCAGGGTGTAGAGACTCGACCCCGGTCGACGCGAAAAGGTGGCCAGGTGTCGGCCTGTGTCTGCGTCCGTGCAGTGGGTCACCCGCCGCCTCGCAGGAGTGAACTGGTGAACCCCCGCATCCTGTAGGTCCGCACCACTCACCAAGTTCGTAGAGAACGAGGGAAGGTACAGACCAGACAGGGTGCCCGAAGGGGCAGCCGGACACGGGAGGACAGTGGAGAAGTGAGACAGGACAGGACCCCCAGAGGGGTCAGCAAGGGAGACCGCAACCGGTCGGCCAAGTGGCGTGAGGGTAGTGCGGTCTCGAAAGAAGGAGCGAGAAGCCCCAGAGTCAAGTGTGAAAGTGAGGGAGGACGAGGGCGACGCAGTACCTGAGAGCGCAGTCTCACTAGTACCTGAGAGCGCAGACGCACTGGCACCTAGAGCAGCAGCCTCACAAGTACCTAGGGCAGCAGTACCAATGCCCGGGTCGGGCTGGAAACACCGGTAACCCTCATTCTCCTCACTATAAGTCACAGCATACATAGCAGAAAGGATAGCATCAAAATCAAGATCAAAGATCGCTACACCAGCCCTAAGGAGCTCATCCCAGCGAGGGATCTCACTAGCCCCGGGGAACTGCTGACGCCAGGCGTCCGTCAGGCGGCCAAAGCAGCGCTGGGTGGAGTGGGCACCCCCACACTGCTCACCCGCGCGGTCGCCGGAACGAAGAACGTAGGCGCAGGGACCAGTACCCCCACCCCTCTGACGCGCAGTGTACCACTCACGAAGCTGCTGAGGCGGAGGGATGTCCCGCGAACGCTGCTGCTGCTGCCGCTGCGAGCGCTGGCCACCACCACCGCCGCTCCGCTGCTGGGTACCACCACGACCAGCTCCACCTCCTCCACCACCACCGCCTCCTCCGCCGCCGCCTCCACCGCCTCCACCTCCACCGCCTCCACCTCCACCGCCTCCACTCCCGCTGCTGCCTCCACCACCACCGGTGCCACCACCACCACCGTCTCCGCCGCTGCTGCCACCACCACCACCACCACTACCACTACTCCCGCTGCCACCCCCACTCCCTCCGCCGCCTCCGCCGCCACCGCCACCGCCCCCTCCAGCTCCGCCCGCGCCCTTGCCCCCCTTGCCCTTGCCAGAGCGACGTCTCCCACTAGGGGCAGACGCCGCGCCGACCGACTCAAGACCAAGCAGGTCGGCCGCAGCAGCAGAGGCAACAGAGGGCAGCAAGGGGGAAGGAGAGCACCCCTCAAAGATGGGGGTGCGAGGGTCACCACGAGAGGCACCGACAGCGACTATGCTCTTCTCCGCTGCGAGGAGGGCCTTCTCGAGGAGGTCGACGGTGAGAGTGGTGGGACAGACTGCGAGAAAGTGGTCCCTGACTACGCGGAGGGAGTCAGGGAGGCGTGCGACTACGTAGTAGAGAGTGATATACATGGGGGGGGGGTTCTTAGCGCAGAACTCAGCAGGAAGGGCGGCGCGGTAGCGAGTGTCACTAGTGCGGAGGTGCGTAATGAGGTCAGCGACAGTGGGAAAGGCAGAGAGGTCAGGAAAGAGGTAGGGAAGCATGAGACGGCTCAGTGCAGCAGTGGCAGGAGAGGAGTAGCGTGCAACTACAGCGTCGTACAAGGTCTGAGCACTCTTGTACTGACGAAAATGCGCACGCTCAGAGTTAGGGAGGTGGCGACGCACAGCAAGACGTGCAGCAGCATCGCGGGTGGCCCACTGAGAGCGGACAGTGGGATCAGCATCAGCAGCAGGAGCAGGAGAGGCGCCAGAGGTGAGGTCAAAGAGAGAGAGGCTGTCAGCTCTGTCACACTGTAAGAAAAGCTGCAGGTCATCTAGCCAGACCTCAAAATCAATGGCGCGACCCTCGGCGTCGAAGGCTAGGACACTAGGGGTGGCCATGATGACGACAGCGAAGCAGTGCAAGCAGTAGGGAAAGAGGGCGCAGTGACAGAGGGACTGTGCTCACCAGGCAGGGCAGGCCGTGCAGCTCGACAGAAAAGCAGAGCGGCGACCGGGCGGCTCGGGTGTACAGCTGCTCAGCTCCCGGGCGGCTCGGCGGCAGGGCGGCTCGGGTGCAGGGCGGCTCGGCTCCCGGGCGGCTCGGCGACGGACGGCTCGGGTGCAGGGCGACTCGGCTCCCGGGCGGCTCGGCGACTGGGCGGCTCGGCTGCCCGGCCGCCCGACTGCTGCAGGCGAGGCGGCGGGGTCGCGTAAGAGAACCGGGGCGGGGCCGCGAAGGGGCCGGCGGTAGGGCCGCGTAGGAGCCGGGGCAGGGCCGCGTTGGAGCCGGCGGCAGGGCCGGCGGTAGGGCCGGCTTAGGAGTCGGGGCAGGGCCGCGTTGGAGCCGGCGGCAGGGCCGCGCAGGGGTCGGCGCAGGGCCGAGCAGAGGCCGGCGGCAGGGCCGCGTAAGGAGCCGGCGGACAGGGCCGTGAAGGAGCCGGGACGGGGCCGCGTGAGAGCCGGCGCGGGGCCGAGTAGGAGCCGGCGGCGGGGCCGCGTAGGAGCCGGGGCAGGGCCGCGTAGGAGGCCGGCGCGGGGCCGCGTAAGGGGCCGGCGCAGGGGCCGCGTAAGGGGCCGGCGGCGGGGCCGCGTAAGGGGCCGGCGGACAGGGCCGCGTAGGAGCCGGGGCGGGGCCGCAATGGAGCCGGTGGCGGGGCCGAGTAGGAGCCGGGGACGGGGCCGCGTAGGAGCCGGCGCGGGGCCGCTTAGGAGCCGGCGCGGGGCCACGTAAGGGCCGCGTAAGGGGCCGGCGCGGGGCCGCGTAAGGAGCAGGCGGCGGGGCCGCGTAAGGGTCAGGGCGGGGCCGCGACAGAGTGGGCGGCGAGGCCGCAGGGGAGAGGGCGACTCGAGGGGTCGCTAAAAAAAACCGCGCCTCGGGGCGCGCTTCGGTGGGCCCAAAAAAAAACGGTCCTGGAGGGACCTAGCTCTATACCATGTGAAACAATGAGCAGAGGAATGAAATGACTAAGTCAGAAATTGGTACAAATAACAAACCCTAGGAATCTGTACCCCATATGTGCTACCCCACTACAGCCTACAAACATGTATCAGCTATAATGTTCTGACACCTCTTCCCCAGAATAGGACGAGAAGAATGCAATGCGTGAGTGTCAGATGCAGTTGAACACTAACTTTCATACAACCTGGTTGCTTAAAACTATTACATTACAGAATCTCATGCAAATAGATGTCAAAAATGGCAACGAGATATTTGGCTTTGTCAATTTTGATGTTTTGTGTTTTATATGTATGAAACCCCTATAATGATGTTAAAAATACCTTCACACATCTTATTGAGGATTGAAACACTCTACTTGGCCTTTTTTTTCCCCCAAATGCACGAAAAATGGCTTGTAGCCACCATATTTATGTGTAAAACCAATTGAGATATGGTTTTCCAGCCTCCCCTAGGCCTACTCAACCAAATGGATAGAAAATAAAATCATTAGACTACTTTAAAAAAAAACTTGAAACTTCATCATGTAACATCCATGTCTCTACTCAAACGGTTTTACCTCATTTGATGATCATTACAGCGTCACTCATAATGGTGTCATTAGAATGACACCTAAATGGGTTCAGACCCTTCTCATGTCATTATTAACTCAGTGGTATGGTATAGAGAAACATTGGAAAATAAAAAAACTACGCAACGTCGAAACGACATCGTTTGCCGCCATGCGACAGATATAGAGTTAGGTTGACAAAGTGACGCAAATAGCCCTAGCAAAAAAAAGAAACACAGCGTCAAAATGGCATGGTGAGCTGGTATCTTCTGCAATAAGATGTTGGTATTTTTTTTTGTAACGAATTTAACGCCTCATTGATCACAACAAACAACTGCTCTTGTTACACATGTAATTCAAACTACTGGAATAGTTGGGTGCCAAATATTACCTAAATATGCATGTCTAAACATTCAAGGCTGTTTACAACTCAAAGGCATATTACACAAACAATTTCCATCAATTAATTTCTTCTAAAACTGTAACGGAGAAGATCTTCAGCGGGTCAAGCCCACTTAGTGTGCCAAGCCCTCGCTACCAGCTGCTTCCTGGAAGTACATCGAAACCCTCCCATTCTTACAGGGCAGTAAGTTTGAATCGAACGACCAATAGCAATCGCTCGAATGGTTTTGCAGAAGTTTCCTAGAAGAACTCAAAATGGTTCGACCAATAATATCGCTCGCGAGGGTGGTGTCGAAATTTCTGTGATGCTGCACCCCTCTGATTCCCGAGTCGCGGTACCATTAAAGCAACCTGCACGTAGGTTCAGGCAAGTTACTCTCTCGCAAACCCTGAAAAGCATGCCACCCCGACCTCACACATTTTGGGATGTGACAGCAGAGGCGCGATGGCAGCTGGTGGACGAATGCACTCACGCCCTGCTTGCCGAGGTGGGGTGGTTGAGGTAGTGGAGGAGGTGTGATAGAGGCATAGGGTGGTAGAGCTGGTGGAGTAGACGAGAGAGTGGCTTAGTTGGAATGGCAGCTGCTGCACGCACACTCACCTGTAGCACACAAATGATGCCTCTTCGCACGCTGTGATGCTACAGGTGGGGCCATAGAGTTGTGGGCCCCACATAGTTTGTTGAGCCTGAGTGGTGCTCGCTGCATTCATGGTTAGTGGTAGCTCACGGTGGCGGCTCCAAGTCAAAGACCAGCCAGGTGGCACTGGCAGCTGTCACTGCATGCGTGCATGGTATTAGTGATCAGGGATGGCCGTGATTGAGGGCTCTGCTCTCATGACCCGTCAGTTTGGACACAGCCCAGGCAAAAGCCGCTTGCTTGGATGGGATCATATCGCATCGCATGCTCTCCTTTCATTGTTCCTCTCCCCCCTCCAAATCATCTCTCACTGCCCTTCCTCCATCATCCCTCGCTACCCTCGCTCCACTCCCCAGGTGAGAAGGGGTTGCAGTGGGGGAGTGGCAGGGGAGGGAGTGGTGGGTTCAAGGGGAGGCGGTGAGGGGGGCGGTGGAGGATGGCAGATGGGCGCTCTACTGCCACCTGCTGGCCCACCTCCGGTTCACCCCGCACAACGGCGCGGCGCTGACAGGTAGTGTAGTGTAGTGAGACTGCTGGTAGTGTACTGCCGTCTTGACGGGCTGTAGCATCTCTTTTATCGGCCCTAGCACCGCGCTAGTCAGTTGTCTTGTCGGTCCACAGCCCCTCAGGCTCAAATAGCAAGGCACATCTCATGCGAAGCAGGGTGCTTTTGGTCCCTCCCCCTCCCCAGTCATGCCGAGCAGATTTGATTGTTTGCCATGGCCCATGGGATGTCTGCCTGGCGGTGGTGGTAAACTGGTAGAGGAGGCGCCACAGGCGACCCTGTTGCCGATTGTGAGTCAACAACGTTGCCTGTGCTGTGGCATGTCACCGCCTCCTTTGGCGTGTTGCCACCTTCTTACACCCCCCCCCCCTGCCCCGCTCAATCGCGTTGCGCATGTGGAGTTGGTTGCCCCCTGCTCTCCCCTGCCCCCCTTCCCCCCTGCTCCCCTTCCCCCCAGTCCCCCTCCCCCCCTGCCCCCCTTCCCCCCTGCCCCTCTTCCCCCCTGCCCCTCTTCCTCCCTGTCCTCTTTCCCCCCTGCCCCCCTCCCCTTCCCTACTGTCCCCACTTCCCCCTACTCTCCCCCCCTTCAGTTCCGCATGTGGTGGTGGAGAGCGCAGAGGTGCCACAGGCCACTCTGGTTCCGACTCCCTCCCTGCTCCCTGCCATACCCCTTCCTCCCCGCTGCCCTCCCCATCCCCTCTCCCACAGTCATACGGCCCGGGTGGGGGTGGAGATGGCGGAGGCGGTGCTGCTGGCCGTGATGGAGGCGGCCAGCAGAGAGGACAGCCGCCACTGGATGGGGCTGTCCCTGCCTCGCCTTGACTCGCTTAACTCGCTTGAAGGGGGCTACAGTGGTGGCAGCATGGAGGGGGGGGGCTGAGAGAGTTGCGAGGGGGGATTGCAGGGTGGGAGGTGGAAGGGGAGGGTAGGGGATGCAGCAACAGCAGTAGCAGTAGCAGGGGAGGAATGAGCATGGGTGATGATTTGAGGAGTATCCCTGTTCCGAGAGGAGTATCGGTCTTCTCGACGATTTGACAAGTTCAGGAATGAGGTGATTCACATGCGTAGTTGCCTCTTTGGAACACCATTCATACTCCCTCTCCCTTCCCCCAAACCCCGTGAGCCCCTCTACTCCCTTCCCTTTATCCTCCCGCTCCCCAAACACGCCTGCACATCTCTTCCTTTTTCTGACCCTTCATGCTAGACTCATGAGTTCTCCGTTCCACGTGCTGCTGTGCAAGTGCACATTCCATTGTCTGTCTACGCTCCGCCCGCTTTCTCGCCTTCTTTTTTTTACTCTGTCTGCTCCCCCTTTTTCGCTGCTATGTCTCCGCCTGCCAGGTGGCACTGCGCAAGTGGCTGCGCTGCAACGTGACATCGGTGGTGGCCATCTTTGAGGACCGCTTCCTCCTCTGGGGGCTGCGCCGCCGCTCGCCAACCCCTGCCCTCTCCATCCTCCCCACCACCCACCATCCCGACCGTCCGCCCCACCCCTGCTGCTGCCGCATGGCCATTCCCGGATCCCACACTGCCAGACTCATCGCAGCAGCTTGCATCTCAGCTGTCCCCCGTGGCATTCCCCAACAACTTCACCAGTGTGGGCAGCGCCACCACAGCAGGCGCACCTCTGGCCTGGCTGCAGGGGCTGCTGAGAGGAGGCTCGGGAAGCAGCACTGGTGGTGTGGACAGGGGTGGTTCAGGAACGGGTGCAGGACGTGCCCACCCCCTGCCATCCCCACCATTCCCTCCACCCCCACCGCCCGCCTCGCCCCTGCTGCTGCGCATGGCCATTCCAAGAACGCACACTGCCAGCCGAGCAGCATGTGTCTCAGCTGCCCCCCGTGTCGTTCCCCAACGACTTCACCAGTGCGAACAGCACCTCAGCAGGCGCGTCTCTGGCGTGGCTGCAGGGGCTGCTGAGACGAGGCAGCGCGAGCAGTGCGGTGGTTCAGACATGGGTGCGGTGGTTCAGACATGGGTGCGGTGGTTCAGACATGGGTGCGGTGGTTCAGACATGGGTGCGGTGGTTCAGACATGGGTGCGGTGGTTCAGACATGGGTGTGGTGGTTCAGACATGGGTGCGGTGGTTCAGACATGGGTGCGGTGGTTCAGACATGGGTGCTGTGGTTCAGGTGGTGAGAGGGAAGGGGGGTGAGGAGGCGGGCATGGGTGCAGCGATTGGCACGCAGCAGTGGTGGCAAGGGGAAGAGGAGGCAGGGGAGGGCAGGGGTGGCCCGGTGGGTCTGGTGCGGCACAGTGTGGTGGGTGGCAGACGAGGGGAGCTGCGGCAGCTGAGAGGATGGTGAGAGGAGGGTAGTGGGGTGGCGTGGTGGGCAGGGATGAGGTGGTGGGCAGGCATGGGGTGGTGGGCAGGCATGGGAGGTGGGCAGGCATGGGGTGGTGGGCAGGCATGGGAGGTGGGCAGGCATGGGGTGGTGGGCAGGCATGGGAGGTGGGCAGGCATGGGGTGGTGGGCAGGCATGGGAGGTGGGCAGGCATGGAAGGTGGGCAGGCATGGGGTGGTGGGCAGGCAGGCAGGCACTCAAAATCTTACGGTACTGTTCAGATTGTTTGAGAAGTTATCCAATCATGCACCCTTGTTTGCAAATTGCAATGGTCCTTAATCTGGGTTGCTTAGGGGCAGCCCTCTGACATCCAGCTACCATAAATACTTCTTCTCATCATAAAGACAGCATGCGGCAAATGTTCCTGAGACGAGCCACACCTGCAAAGATGGCCAACAACTACCATCCCTACTTCCTCCTACTGACAGTCAGGAGGCTCCCAAAAACATCGTTCAGGGCAGTGGTTGACGTCAATGCTGCCTGGACAAGTGCGAGTGCCTGCAAACACGGAATCAACTGCATTGAATGAGTATCGAATCAGACAATGGCATACTCTAGCTAACATAGAGAACCAATCAGGCCCAACTCACATGGTCCTGGGTAACAGTAGTCTCGCAGCTCTCCAGGTCAGCCATGGACTTCACGCCCAGTGTGTTGAGCAGGCTGATGCTCTTGATGGTGGAGCTTGGGTAGAACTCCAAGTTGTCTGTCACCATGAATGTAAGTGTCTCCTTCACAAACCCTCCAGAAAGGTTCGCACTGTTATTGACTAGGGTAAGGGTATTGCTCATGTAATTACCACAGCGGCCGCTAGGGCAGTATGCTCCTGAATCTCCCACATAATGGCGTGAAGGACATGTGTAAAATGGCCCGGAGCCACTAGCAGAGACTCCATGGGATGGCTGTATGGTATGGGTCATGACCCGTGCACATGAGCCACACTCGGCACCTGGTCCAATCGAGATATACCAGTGGTTTGCAGTGGAGCACGTGAAAAAGCCCCCAGTTCCGGTCGACTGTGGTACCTGTTCCTGCCAACCTAGTAGGCGCACCTGAGTCCCTTCAGGTGGAGACGGGCTCACAACGAAGCTCTTGTCGACCTTCATGTACGAACTATCAAGGTTTTCCGCGCTGGAGAAGACATTAAATATTCCAATGGGCCTTTTGGTGGTCATTCCGGCATCAGAAAGTAGTCTCAGCAGGTTGGCAGTCGGCATCCGAAGGAGAGCCATGAGAAGATCGATGAAGTCCTTTCCAGCCTCTAGGTACAAAATTTTCTCCTTTTCCTGGAAACGTGGCAACGAGAACCTTAGCAAACGATCAAAAAGAAGAAGAAAAAAAAAGTAAAAAGGAGAGGGAGAAAAAACTCCATCCTGCAACTTCTCACTCCTTACCTTGCTGAAAAGTATATTGACTTGTAACGCCGCCATGGGGGCAGCTTACTAAGGACGAGTGAGGAAAAAGAAGGGCTTTATGGTCCGAACGTGAGTGATGCACCACTTCAGCAGTGAGAATGTACCAGTAGCTGAAGATTCCACGGGGTCGCCGACTGTCCATGAGTGCGTGTTCAATAAACGACGTTGGGCGCCATCTTGAGACTTTGGACACGGCCGTTCCAAGTAATGACATCTGGATTGTGCAGCTCGCAAGAACATTCCACTTGAAACGCACGCATAACGGGATACACTAGAGCCTAGTAGGACATGGGGTCTCGTTGAGAGTGATCCAGCACTATCAGCCAGCCAACGCGATTTTTCTTAGTAACCATTCGTGTCGCCTGGATAACTGCTCATAATATCCACACATCAGACTTCGAGCATGTATGCTGGATAAGCGATCACGAGAAATTTGGAGCAATGCGTTGGCGGGAAGAAACCCATCAACATCTGTGTAGACCATACTAACCACCCTTCAAATTCTCGCACCCTTGGGCTGAGGAAAGAGCCAAGATGATTCTAACCAAAGTTCTCTTAATCGCATAGAATTCTCATCCTATCCGTTGCGGGAACGGGGAGTCGAAGGTCCACTGGGCTAACTTCGACTCCCGATAGTCTAGTGGTCTCTTATTGGTGTGACCAGGTATTGTTTGCATGCCCAAAGACTTGTGCTGTGGTGCTTGGTTGGCCGTGAGAGTTGGGCGTGGGTTGGGCGTAAGTTGGGCGTGAATTGTATAAATCCGTCAGGCAGAACCTCGATTCTGTGTAAGGACAGGACAAGCGGATTGACAAACTTACGATCCCTTGCAAAGTTTTGGCGAAAGCATTGCCGACCATTTGTCGACAACAGGGAAATTGGTCGAGGTTCAATATTCGTAAAGTTCTATTCGCAAAACAGGAAACCAAGTTACCACCTGAACTGGTACATTCCGTCACGATCAGGGGAAGGGTGATTGGCCATCGACACAGTCAGCACACGTACTTCCGTTGTTCACCCGTCATTCACGCCCGAACTGGCTCAGTATCACTCCGTTTCTACTACACCTCAGGTACGAGCACACTCTAGATGCTCCCTGCTTTAACCTTACAATGACTTCTTAGCAGACGAATTAGAATAGCCTCAGAGAACATGTTTGCTGGTCGCTTAGGTTCCCCCCGTCACCCTCGCTTGCCCGCGACGCCTTCGGTTCCTTGGCTCCCCTCAGTCGCTTCCTCACGTCGAACACTCTCAGCTCGTTGCCCCCTTCCATTCGTCGCCATCCCTTCCCCTCGTCGCCCTCCCTTCCCCTCGTCGCCCTCCCTTCCCCTCGTCGCCCTCCCTTTCCCTCGTCGCCCTCCCCTACCGATTGTCGCCCTCCCTTCCCCTCGTCGCCATCGCTTCAACTCGTTCGCACCCACATACCACACGCAGCAGCCCGAACAGACCTCCCTCCGTTCCCCCACTTACCTCGTCCTTCCCCCACATATCACCACCCTCCTCCCCCACATATCACATGCATTTCCCCCCACCCTTCCCCGTTCTTTTCCCCACATACTACCAACCTTCCCCTGCCCCGCCGTCGCGTCCCCTGGCATCGCTAGCCTTGCTCGTCAACCCCCCCTCTCTCTTCCTCTCATCGCCCTCGCTTTTCCGCGCCTCTCGTTTTTCCGTCTCCCCGTCTCTCTCGCTTTCTTCGTCGCCCTGCTATCCGCTCCTCGTCGCCTTCGCCTTCCCAGCCGTGTCCCGTCCCCCCTCGCACACTTGTCACCCTCCCTTTTCTCCCCCTATTTACTCCCTTCCCTCGCCCCAACAATCGCCCGGCGCCTCCCCCCCACTTATACCGCTCCCTCTCACTGGTTACCTCTCTCCCTCTTCCCCCCATCCTCTGCCCTGCTCCCCACAATCCCCTGCCCTGCTTCCCCCCATCTGAGCTGCTTCCCCCCATCCTCTGAGCTGCTTCCCCCCATCCGCTGCTTCCCCCCATCCTCTGAGCTGCTTCCCCCCATCCTCTGAGCTGCTTCCCCCATCCTCTTCCCTGATCCCTTCTCCCTTGCCCTGCTTCCCTATCCTCTTCCTTGATTCCCCCCCCACCCCACCCTTCTCCCCCATCCTCTGACCTGCTTCCCCCAACCCCTGCCCTGCTCTCCCCCCCCCCCCCTTGCCCTGCTTCCCCCCATCCTCTCCCCTGCTTCCCCCCATCCTCTCCACTGAGAGGTGAGTGGCACACGCCAGGTGAGACCAGGATGAGATGAGGGGAATGATTGATGAGATCCACGTGGCAGGTGAGGGCGTGGGGGACGAGGGGAGTGATAGGGATATGGTAGGCGAAGGGCGGGCGAGGCAGATACGCAGATTCCAAGAGCAACATGCAACTGCAGCTGCACTCGATGTGCTGCCATTCTCCCCCGTATTCCCTTCCCCTGCTCGTGCCTCTCCTCCATACTCTCCCTCTCCATGTGTTCCTCCTCTCCCTCCTTTGCACTTCCATTCGTCTCTCCCACCCCTCCTGCTCCTGCTCCACCCGTCCCATATCCCACCTGACAGGAGGTCGACCTAGAAGCCGTGCAGAATATGGACCACAGCAGGGTGCGGGACACGAGTCTTCACCCTTCTTACCTCCCTCCCTCCTTTACCTCCCGTATCCCACCCTCCTTACCTCCCGCCCTCCTTACCTCCTGCTGTGCGATCACCACTCCCCAGCGTTGCTTCTTATTCCTTCTTGCCCGCCCCCTATCATTTTTTCCCACCTTCCTATCGGCCCTCCCACTCTCATTCCTTCCTGCCCTTCTCGTTAAAGCCCGAGTCTAGAATGGTAAGGGTTCAACTTCAAGATTCTTGAACTTGAGTTCGTCAGGAACAGGGTAACCAGATTGAGAAAGCTTCTCCCTCGCGACCCACCAAGAAGGGAGTTGGTGGGCCAGAAGGTGATTGGCCAAATGCTCCACAGCAAAAACAGCGACGAGCCTCACCAGAAACAAACAAGAACAAGTATCACCGTTCACAATTTCAGAACTTGAAACTCGAAAATACCTTTCTAGACTCGTAGCATAGTGTGCTCCATAGCCCTAGTTCTCGTCGTTAGCCGAGTATAGTTACGCCCATCTCCATACTATGCTAAGACTTTAGTAGCACATAGAGACGGCCCTTCCCGTCGACTTTTCCGCGCATAACAAGTGCGATCTGGTAGCCAACAGCAAATCCAGAATGCCGCCTCGATTGATCGCCATCGTAAGAATCACTCGTCGCCACTGACAGTTATATCGCGTTAGCCGACACTCGCATAGCCAATAGCGAAATCAGCTATGACACCTCGACAATCACTCCCATCCCACACTCAATCCCTTCCCGCACTCAATCAAATCATTCACAGACTGCTGTCGCTCTCCCGCTTCCGTCATCCACACTCGCCGGAGGCACATGTCACTTTCTCAATCCCGTCACTCACTCACACCCGTCGCTTACACACTCCCGTCGCTCACTAACTCCCATCTCTCACTCAATCCCGTCGCTCACACACTCACTCCCGTTCCGCCGTCACTCCCGTCGCGTCTTCACTCCCGTCATCCACACACGTCGCAGGCACATGTCACCCACACGCGCCATACACGACTTAATCACACCATGTCCCTCTCGCCTCCCTCCTCCAGACCCTCTCTTCTCCTCTCCTCCCTTGCCTCTTCCCTTCCCTACGCGCTGCTCCCCCTTCCCTACCGCTGCTCCCCCTTCCCTACGCGCTGCTCCCCTTTCCCTACGCGCTGTTTCCCCTTCCCTACGCGCTGCTCCCCCTTCCCTACGCGTCACACACGACTTGCCCACACATGTTCCCATCTCCCCTCTCCTCCCTTCCCTTTTCTTTCCTCTCTTCCCTTCCCTCTCTGTCCACCTCCTTCCCTTCCCTGTCTTCGCCTCGCCTCCCCTCCCACTCATCCCCTCTCCTTCCTTCCCTTCCCTCTTTCCACTGCCCGAGGACCAGGGAGGGGGACTGAGGAGACCTTTCTTCCCTCCCGCCTCACTCGCTCCCCTTGCTCACTCAATTCCATTGCTTGCTATTGCACGTCACCTTCACGCACACCTTTGTCACAAAGACACTCACTCACTCACTTCCTTCTGTTACCAACATCACTCCTGTTACCATGCCTGTCACTTGCTTCCCTCACCGCTTCTCTCCTCCCTTCCCTCTCTCACCCCCCCTCCATCCTCCAGTCCCTCCCGTCCTTCCCGTCGTGCACGTCCCTCCTGTCCCTCTTGTCCCTCCCGTCCCTCCCATTCCTCCCGTCCCTCCTGTCGCCCAACACCTTCCGTCCCACCCCTCGCTTCAGTTCCGCATTCGCTCCTGTCGTTCTCTTCCCTCCCGTCCCTCCTTTCCCTCTCCGGTTCTCGTCATCCGTCCCTCATTCGCATCGCTCACTCGATCCGTCGTGCACTCCCCCCGTCGCTCGAACGAACGCACCGTCCACGCAGGGCAACCGCCTTGCATCGGGCCTGTCGCTCACACACTTACATGTGACATTCACTCCCATTCCGCACACTCACTCCCCTCCTCTCCTCTCCCTTTCCCCGTGTCCTTCCCTCCGTTTCCCCCCTTGTTCCTCTCTCTCTTTCCCTGTGTCCGTTTCCCACCTTCCCCCTCCCTCCCTTTCCTCCATTCCTAACTGCTCCTACCCTCCCCTCCTTCTCATCACTCGTTTTTCCCAGTTCTTCTGATCTCCGCCCTTCCCCGTCACCCACACACGTCGCAGGCACATATTACTTACACCTTCCCTCCTCCCACTTCCCCTCCTCCCACCTTCCTTTGCTCCTACCCTCCCTTCCCTCTGTTCCGCGCACCTCTCTTCCGCCATCTCTCCGCCCTTCTCACTGAACCCTCTCCTCCTTTTTCTCCCCCACTCTTTGCTTTCTTCTCATTTCATCTCTCTTCGCTTCACTGTCCTCTACTCTCTTCCCTTCACGTCTCTTTCATGTCCTCTACGCTTTCCTTCTCGCTGCTCGTATCCGCTCGCTTGTTCTGACTCCATGGGTCTTCTCAAGTTGAACCCGACTTACGCCTCACAAAATGGATGTGCAGCACCACCACTCTCCTTCCGCAGTTGTGAACTGGAAGAGCGATAATGGGCACGAGATGGATTATATATTTTTTTACTAGGGAAATAACTGACTCGACACTGTCTCACCTGCTTGTTTTATGTCCCCTTTTTGGCTGGCATAAATATATTCCAGCAAATCGCCCATCTCAGGGCTTTAGTTTTCATTTACGGTACCCTAAACCATTTTTTACAAGTTTCTAACTCGGTCTTACATATGTTGAAAACCATTTTGTAACAGCTTGGTCAATATTCTGGAATCCCTTGAGGCATCTCAGCTTCTGGCAAATAGTAGCATTTTTGTCCTTGTCTGCAGCCAGCCTTGTTTCTTGAACTCGAAAGCTGGGTTGGGTTGTACTTCCCGCTTCTACCCTTCGCCACACCTGATTTGCGATTTTTTCTGTCGCCACACTTCGCAAATCAAACTTTAACTTCAGTAAATATGAAAGTTAGCCATTCTAGACTCGGGCTTTAAATTTAATGGGCGTGAAAATGAAGCATTGTAAGGAAAATTCCCTTTCCTTACTTCGCGCCCCTGCTCAGCGCATACATCACTGTAGCACCACAATCAGCACTGTTACCACTCACATCGACAATCCTCCCGCCACCTTCGCACGTCGCACCCCGACCTCACAGCTCGACGGGTAACCCGCGCTCCGGGCCTCCGCCTCGACATTTCCCAACCACAGTCCCAACCACAGTCCCAACCTCAGTTCCAGGCCCGTCGGGCGTTACCCACAGTTCGTTATCGTTACCACTGTGGTCTTCGCTATTTAGTTTGCTGGGCTGAGAAAAACCCTTATAATCTTTTACAGGATTAAACTTTGAGTAGGAACAATGTAATAGCTGTTGAGATGATAGCTAGAACGAGGAGCCATAGCTAGGTAAACCCTAGCTAGGCAAGAGAAAATAGGCAAAAGGAGGGATTGCACTAGCAAGCAGGTGGATACAAATAGGAAACCCTAAGGGGCTGTACTCACTATAGAGTACCCCACTGCAGGCTAGACAAGCATTATATTCTGACACACCCCCATAGTCAAAGTGGGGTATAATCAGCACAGCAAGCAGGCATAGAGTAATAGTTCACAATGATAAGCAAAGCTAGAGGCTATCACAGAGGGCAAGTGAGGAGGAGGAGAGACTGTGGGGGAGAGAAGATGGGAGGCGACTGCTGAAGCTGCAGACACACAGGAGCTGCTGGCTCAGTGGCTACCGAAGCAAAGGCCCGGACTACAGGAGTAACTGGCTCCGCGGAGATTGTAGCCTCCTGACCGGAGCAACTGACCCACAGGCGACTGGCGACTACCGGAGATTGTAGCCTCCGGACTACTGGTGCTGCTGGCGACACGACTGCTACCTCCGCTCAACCTCCGCCAACTTCCCCACACCCCTCCCACACACCCCCTGCTGAAACCCTAGCTCCACTCCCACGGCACCCCCCTTAAACCCTAAGCCCTAGTCTCCCACACACCCACCCCCCTCAGCGACAGCTACAGCAGTGGGAGACGAGGGAGGAGGAGGAACAAGGGGAGGAACTCACAACCACCACCCGCACACCCGCCACCCCCAAACCCTAACGCAGGTAGGAGCGCGGGAAGCAGCAGGGGCGGGTCACGGAGGGAAAGGGAGGCGGCGGGGCGTCTTCAGTGCTCCACGAAGGAGCAGGGCGCGGGCCCCCCGAGGGCGCCACGGCGGGTGACGGGAGGGGGGCTGCGCACGGGCCCACGAGGGTGGCTCGACGGGCGACGAGAGGGGCCGCGCGCGGGCCCCCAAGGCGCCGCGACGAGGCGATGGGTGGGGCCGGCGCACGGGCCGGCGCAGGGGCCCCCAAGGCGCCGCGACAAGGCGACGGGAGGGGCCGGCACGCGGGCCCCCAAGTCGCCGCGACGAGGCAACGGGAGGGGCCGGCGCACGGGCCCCCAAGGCGCCGCGACGAGGTGATGGGAGGGGTCGGCGCGCGGGCCCCTAAGGCGCCGCGACGAGGCGACGGGAGGGGCCGGCGCACGGGCCCCGAAGGCGCCGCGATGAGGCGACGGGAGGGGCCGGCGCGCGGGCCCCCAAGGCGCCGCGACGAGGTAGGAAACCGCCGCGCGCCTCGGGGCGCACGGCGGGCAGAAAACCGCCACGCGCTAGAAAAATCGAACATCGCGCGCCACGGGGCGCGCGACACACAGTAGGGCAGCGGAAGCAGATGGGCCCACAGGCCAGGAGCGTAACCGCTCTGATAGCATGTTGAGATGATAGCTAGAACGAGGAGCCATAGCTAGGTAAACCCTAGCTAGGCAAGAGAAAATAGGCAAAAGGAGGGATTGCACTAGCAAGCAGGTGGATACAAATAGGAAACCCTAAGGGGCTGTACTCACTATAGAGTACCTCACTGCAGGCTAGTCAAGCATTTTATTCTGACAATAGCGGAAGCGTTTAATGACAAGTCTGTAAACCACTTTGCGCTGGTATGTGAGGGCAAAGTATATTGATTAAAACAGGAAGATACAATGTTTTATAAGAGTACAAGGAATACAAAGAGATACAGTTTACTAACGTTTTACTGTTGCTGTTGCGGTTCGATATAGTGACGACTTGGGCAAGTGCTCAATAACGAGTCAGTTGTTTGTCCTTGCTGTCGCGCTATATTTGTAAGGTCAAAGGTCGCTGACCTTTGACTTTCGCGTAACCTCCTGTTGTTTGTTCAACCTCCGAGGGTTGACTCGCCGATGCTTCACTGTACTTCGCTTCGTTTTACGACTTAGTGCTTTGACACGACAGAGGCGCTTAAATTACTTGTTTCCAACACTCCCCTTCGCTTCTGGAGTGTCGTTGCTGGTGACGTGGCCTTGTCCAGTCAGCAGCATGCAGTACTCGAACTTCTGCTTTCCGAGTTTCTTGGTCAAGTAATCAGCTGCAATTTCAGACGTGGGGCAGTAGGACAGCTCGAGTCTCCCCTTCTCGATTTCGTCCTTCACGAAGAAGTATCGCAGGGCGATGTGCTTCGTCCTGTTCGCAAATCCATTTTTGTTGGCGATGCGAATTGCAGACTGGTTGTTGCATAACAGAGAGAAGCTGTGTAACTGGGCCAGTTTTGCCTCTTCCAGCAGTTCGCGAAGGTAAAGTCCTTGGTGGCCGAGCAGAGTGCAATATATTCTGCTTTAGTTGAGGAGAGAGCAATTAGTTCCTGCTTGCTCGACTGCCATGAGATGGGCCCGATAGGTTCAAGTCGGTAGATATAGCCGGTGCGCGAGCGCCTGTTGTCAGTGTCGCCGGCGTGATCTGCGTCGACGTAGCCGATAAACTTAGGTGTCAAGATTCCGCTCTTGTGATAGGTCAAGCCGATCGTCGGAGTGCTGACGAGGTAGTGAAGAGCGCGGTCGAGCTCTGCCATGTGTTCTGCTTCGGGCCTTTTGAGATAGGTGGCGAGTTGACTCGCAGAGTACGATAGGTCTGGAGTGTCAGAATCCCAGCCACTAACCACTGGGATAAAAAGGCTTGTTTACGTAGCGGGTGAGTGCGCCCATACCCCCCCCAGGCCGCCGTGCCTGTAACCCTTCCCTAGGATCGATCGGGGATCACCAGTGGACCTCTAACACCCCCCCGCACTGGGATGCTCGAAGTGCACACACTGAGATTTGAACCCGAGACCTTCGCTCTGATACCATATCAGAATCCCAACCACTAGACCATTGAGATAAAAGGGATTGTTAAGTAGCGGGTGAGTGCGCCCATAACCCCCCCAGGCCGCCGTGCCTGTAACCTGTTGGTGCAACCCTATGGTTTGCACTCGGGTTGTTGTCCGTGTGCGTGCATGTGTGTGTGTGTATGGAATGGTATGAGGGCATGGGATAATATATATTTCATGCTTATAATTGTGTGTGAATGTTGAGTCATGATGTCGAGTGTGTGTGTTGAGTCAATAGCGAGTTATCGCTAGACGCGTGTTACGCGGTCGTTTGTGTCTCGCGCGCGGTTTCTATTTTGTCGTGCGCGGTTTCTATTTTGTCCTGTGTCGAACGTTCGGTGTGTCGCAGGTGTGTGCAGCAGACCCATCAAGAACTCAAGGACGAGTTTGTGATGAAGAGCCCGAGCCTTGGTGTCAAGCCTCAGGTGATTTCAAAGCTCGCCAAAAGGGTACACCTCAAGATATTGAAGATAGTTACATTACTTTGTGTAGTGTAACATTTCACTTGGTGTAGGCCCTAGTGAAGGGTAGTTTCGAGACCCTTCGTGGTTGGGGATAGTGTGGCACTGTTCCACATCACTGTACCTCGGCTCTTGGGGTTTGTAGGAGCTGGGAGTCATTCCCAACTCGTAACTCTTCAGATCTCTTCCTATTTTGTGTTCTAAGACTATAGTGGCTGTCATAGTGCCGTTCGTTCAAACCAACGCTGTGTCGTCAATACTTGGTCAAATCGTGCGATCTAAACTGCCTATTGTAGGCGACAATAAGACGCTCCAGATCCAAGTTGAATCAAGTCATTTGAAGCTGTGACCAGAACGCTATGAACGTTTGAAGCCGCTGTGCAGAAATCCGACTGTGCACTCTATCTTTCGGTTTAGGCACATTGGAGCCTACTGTG